ATCCCTTTTTGGTATCACGCACCCTCGACCATTCCAAGGGTGAAATTCCTGCAGGGCTCTGACGTCGAGCAACAGGTAAAAATGTAAAAGCTTAGACGACACACCTGTCTACACAAAACAATGGAACGATAAACTCCCACGTTTCCCTTCGTCTGTCCACCACCGTAGAGTACCTGCATAAGTTTAAAGTTCATTGCATTTCTATAAGAAAAAAATCCATCTGACGGCAACGCGATACGTCACTATTTACATTTTCTTTTATGTAAATAAACGACGGTGCACGCGACTAAAAGCTGCATGTTTCCTTTTATGACACCGCTACCTGAGTAAATCTCACTTCGGTCCTATTCATTTGCGGATTTTCATTTTAAACGGAATTTTAATCTTTCTGAGAAATTCCATCAATGACGAAGGAGAAATTTACGCTGGCTAGGTAGAAAGAGATTCATTAGTGTTTTTATCCTCTTTTCCGTGCGCTGTATGAAAATTGCCTTCCAAAAGTTTACTTTCGTTTAATACGTGATTTATGCAAAAAAAAACGTGCCCGACTAAAAAAATCGAAATTCGTTCCCAATAAAAAAGGCTACCCAAGAAGGATTGTGACACACACAAATATTCTCAGAAATACACCTACATTTGAAAATTATGACCGGTTTTTGCTTCCCACATTTTTATCAATGAAAATTAAAAGTCCCAAGTGAGCATGGCTTGCAAAACATAACATAAAAATTTGGCCCTAAGAAAAGTAGCCGTCTATAGGAATTCTCTTCCTGAACTTCCTGACTATGCTGGAGGGGGGAGGGTGCACTACTAAGTTTGATAGCGCATTTTACAACTCATGTTGGAAGGCGCTGTATTACCTATGGCCCCTTTCTTCGTCCCTCCTAGGCCTTATTAACGAGTATTGTGTGATCAAAACTCTCTAAACCTTCCCCATATAGTTTTATTCGTTGAAGTTTTTTAAAAGTAAAAGCGACTATAGTTTCGGCGTACTGCCTTCTTCTAGTCGCCTGATGATGGCAGTACGCCGAAACTATAGTCGCTTTTACTTTTAACACTTCTAGTCGCCTGATGATGGCAGTACGCCGAAACTATAGTCGCTTTTACTTTTAAAAAACTTCAACGAATAAAACTATATGGGGAAGGTTTAGAGAGTTTTGATCACACAATATATTTCAACCCCCATTTCGAGGAACGATGGATCCAACTCAAAACTTATTAACGAGCTCCTAGCGTCCGTCCGTCCGTCCGTTAGCACGATAACTCATGAACGAATGGACCGATTACGATGAAATTTTGCAGGTGGGTTCTTTATAAAATTTGTAGATCGGAGTTCGTGAATTGGCAATGTAGCCCAAAAAATAAAGTAGGCCCTTTTGACATCTCCGTTAGTTATGAACCGAATTGCATAAAATTCAATATGCGCATAGCTTTAGCCATATAAAACACAATTCCAAAAGATGAGCCTAATCGATCAGCATTCACAGTGTCCTTTGCGCATCTCGACCATTTACAGACCGAATTGCAAACTTTCTTATTTATGAAGGTAATTAAATGAAATTTGATACATAGCCACTTGGAATAAAAGAAAATTTAACGCCAGTTTCAAAATTTCCAAATACTGCTTCCATGATAGCAGCTTTTTATACCTAACAACCTTCGAGCTCCGTGATCTGCTATCATATCCAAATCGAAGAAGACAACAGTTGGCTGTAATAATCTATTGTGAGCACTTCCTGGGTGACTGTTACGTTAGTTTAAATGAAAATGAAATTGATGTTCCATTCCTAGTTAAGGAAAGTGTTTCGAACATGGTTTTCCTTCTAAACACGTATAAATGTTAGAGGCAATACAGAATAACGGCGTTCTTCAGTTAACTTTAACAGATATCGAGTACGAGTACAATGCACTTTCAAGAAGTAAATGGCGTCTTACATTTACATTAATCAATAGGTTGCTGTAATCAAAATGGAAAGACGTGTCCATTTGCGTAAAACTAAGTACACGGATAATGGTACAACTGCAATAATAATTAATCTTCGTTAGACTTCATTTCAATTTGTTAATTTGAAATGAGCATCTACCAGTAATTTAGAATAAGATATTGCAGTTGTTCATTGCATGGTAAATGGTAAGATGATTGTTTAGAGAATGCTATTGCTATGGTATTACGGAATACCAAACATCAAATCATACCCTAACTGGCAATCACGCAATTCGCAAATTCAACATGAATCTTAAATCACACGGGGGCGGCTAAATTTAGTGACCCTTCTATTGAAAAATAAAATCGAGTATAATGGTAAGTACTGATATGAGATAGTTCGAGTAACGTTAAATTTTAATAGTTGAAGCCACTGAACGCTCCTTTCCGGCATTTAAAGGTCTGGAGTTGGATCTCTTTAGGGTTGCGCGATTTTTAGTGTTGAGTAGTACCTATTGTACTTTGTACCGGGTGACCCAATAAGACTGTTCCTCGACCATATCTCGGGAACCGTTTGTCGTATGAATTAGGGTAAAAAAATTTATTGGGTAAATCGCTTATGAAGAATCGCTGGAATAGTATATTGAAAGACAAGTGTTACAATGCGACCTATTGTAATACGACTATCTTGTGGCACGAGTGGCGTAGCGAAGCGGAGCCACGAGTGTCCACAAGATAGGAGTATTACAATAAAGCATTGTAACACGTGTTTTTCATACTATTTTTTCTATTTCGGGGCTTTAATTTAATTAAAAAGTAATTAACAAAAACTACAGGAAACTTTAGAATTAATCTGTCTGAAGTTGGCAACATCTTTTACGTTGACAAATTTTAAGTTGGCAACGTAGATAAACACAACACTGACAATTTGGAAACTTTAAATTCCGTGAATGTGTAATTTTTTACTCGTAGATAAATTTATTTTCAAGTTGTAACTGCCATCTTAAATTTTAAAATTGCATTTTCTTTAAATTTCGCATAATAAACTACTTAAACATTCTTTTTTAACATTTTTAAAGAGTTTATCTATCATTTTCGTAAAAACATAAACTTAGTTATTTCAAAAACAAAGATGGCGTGGGGCGTTCAATTGTTTTTGCAATAACCTGCTTTAACTTCTATACCGTTTGACCGATTGTAACAAATTTGGTATTGTTGAAAAGAGAGCATTCCTTGGGCCATAAGAATCAACCAAAATATAGTTCATTTAGTTGAATCCTTCTCCGCCACTATGTTTTGACACTATGATCCAAAATCCTAAAAAAATCAAAAAAATCAAATGGAATGATATGACTTTTTCGTTATGAAAAAGTAGTCAAATAACACCCAAACAGGTCAGTGAAAACCCTGGTGAAAACCGTTTTTCAAAATCTAGTTCCTAACCACAAATATTGGGAAAATGAGATTAATTAATTAATTAATAAAAATGCTTAAATAATATCTTATTTGACGTATTTCCTGTATTTGTCCCTGGCGCGAAAGATTGTTTGGAAAAGGACCCTACACTTTTAGGTAGGCCTTGGAAAATTAAACAAATGAAACACGATGCATTATAAAATAATAACAGCCGTAATTTGTAAATTATTCTGCTGTGTTTACATTAAGAAAGTGCAGTGTTTTTAATTTGTAATCTTTTCTAAAATGCCGATTTCTAACCAAGAAGCATTTAAAATGCTGGCGGCCATGGTTCGTGGTCGATTCGGATAACGCAAATAGACGATGTGGACTACGATGGTCGCATTTTGAAAATACCTACTCAAAATATATCGCCAGCATATTAAATGCTTCTTAGGAAAAGGAGCACAGTCCGCCTAAATATATGAACATTGTTTTTTGCCCATTTTTATAGAATATATCGTAAACTAATAAAAGGTTTTTTTTCGAGTGCCACTATGGGGATCTCACTTATCTTAAGAGATAGAAAGTTGCCAATTTTCGTGCTGAATAAGAATCTGAAGAGAAATTTGAAATATCTTTAATAGTTTTGAAGTTATCGCGAAAAAACGAAAATGTCTGATTTTCGTTTTTAATTTTGTTATGATAAACTAATCGTAGTACCCATTTCTAATTAACACATTATTCGGACACTTTTTAATGGAGATTTCAAATATGGCATCCTGTTATTAATAACTTTCAAGATGACGGAGAAACACGTGGCAATTTTAGTTTTTCTTATGTACGCCATTTTGAATTTTCACATTTTGAGATTACGTCTTTTTTTCTCTTTACAACGATATATCACACATGGTGGTCCAGTATCACATTTTTCCTAAAAATACAATTTTTAATTTTTTGAGAAGAGTGCTTTGGAAAAACAAAAATGTTCTTTTGTTGACACCGTGTATAGAGTGAATTTGTTGATTTTTTAAATATTTTATTTCCGGTAAAGGAGCACAGTCTGCTTTCCAAAAAAGAGTTATAACAATAACATTGAGCTAGCCGCAGGTAAATTTTGAGGAAAGAAATCTAACATTATATTAAAAAGTCAAAATCTAGTATTCCGATAATTTACGTCACAGTAATGAATGTAGGTACTTAATTTTTCATTTTTGTGTGAATAAAGTTTTATTTATTGTTTATTTTCTAAAAAAATCGCTTTGGATCCCAAATTGAATGTAATTTAGATTTGGTTGTTGTTTTTGTTGTTGAAACCGCATTTCTGATTTTAAACGATGTTTAATTTAAAATATAAATTACATCTTCACAAGGTTAAATAGTTCCCATACATTTTCTAGCAAGACACCTTAATGTAGAATTGCGTTATTCCATAGAAATTGTTGATAACAATTTAATTACACCTCCTTATTACATTATTAATTGCTAGGTACCTACTAGCTATGTAGGTAGAATCATGATTCTTTCCATTTGGTAATAAAACAAAAAGTGTCGTACCATATTTTAGCAATACCTACAAATAGTTTAAATTGGTTATTTGTTGTTACTACTTTACATTTGTAATAAATTCTGTGGCATATTCTGCTGATTCAAATCAAAAGGTAACAAAAAAGTCACTTACCGAATTTCAGGATCGATTGCCAATTTATTATTATTGCTTTCAACAATAGCGGTAGTTTTGAGCTTATTGTCTTCCGCTCCTATAAGCACTTCCGTTCGGCCATTTTGAAACGGCGAGGACGATCTTCTATCACCTAATGTTCTTATATCTAACGATTGAGGCGGGGTGTCCTTACTATTTTGATTTGATAACGTTACCGGTTTACCCCTCTCCGCGGTCGTTACTCTAACATCATTTGGCACTTTACTTAAATCTAAATTATCTCCAAATTGCTGAGTTAAAATAATATCACTAGATTTATGTCCGTTCGTTTGATTCGGAGGCAATAATTTTGATGTTGTGATTGATTCTTTTGATGAGACTACCGCCGTCGTTATCGCTCCGCTGCTTGGTTTGCTTACGGTGGGGTTGTTGTTTAAAGGTTCGGTGGCGGTCAAAGATGTCACGTATATTGGGGAGTTGCTTAAAAAACCGTTCAAGTCTTCGCTTGTTGTCGTTTGCTGATTTAGCTGGAACAAAAAAAGATGTATCACCATCACATACATTATAACCTGTACAATTTTAATGACACACAATCAAACAAAATTTGAAACAACCATTGGCATTGGCATTATTCTCACGTTGCAAACTTGAACAGTTTTATATTAAGTCCTCGATACTGACGTCCGAATCGTTAATCAATTTCAATACCACTACCACAATTTCCGTACTATTAAGTTTTTACACTACATTTTTTTCGTGGCGTCTGTCTAGCCACAACGGAACCAACGCAATTTTATTTTAAAATTGCACTCGCTGTCGTCGATAAATCTTAACATTATCTCGCAAGTGAACGGATATGAGGCGTTTCTTTGTGTTAGCCTTCCTTTCGATAAACAAGGATCAGGAATTAGCCACAAACTCGGTTATTTAATAATTGTTTAATTCAAAATTCGGGATCAACTTAAGCACGATCACACGCTTCTCTTAAAAATCTCAACAGAACAAAATTCCAAGCAAAATAAACCATAGATGCTATCAATTCGGGCGTCCTGCCAACATTGCGTCCTCCTGTAGGTAAGTTAACATCATAATTTAATTACAAAAAAAACTAAAAATCAAGATTCTCCCTGGACTGTACTCTGATAGATACACATCTTCGTCATCGGATGCGCCTTCTTCTTCGTTAGGTAGTTTGTATAGCTTCAGCTGACTAACCTGGGCTGTTGTGGTGAAATGACGAAATGACTCTCCGGGAGAAATTTAAACTCCTCAACATCACCGCATCGCCTATCAGTTCACTTCTGAAAATTCCTTGGCATCTTAACGTGTTTTGTATTTTCCCTAAACGCGGCCCAGTGGCCTCGGGCAAATGGTCAAGTAGAACGCGCTTCCCGCGATAATGACGGCAATGGATTTTGAGTTCAATTGGGACGAGAGTATACAGGAGGTGGAGCTACCACGGTGTCTCTAATAGTGGTCGCTGATATCCATCACGCTGTGTCTGCTGGAATTGTTCGCATTTATCGTTGTCTGTTCAGCAGAACGTTCATGTGTGGGTGTGCTCTTTACCTGTAGGTTCCGTGTCGTGCAGTAGTCCTTTGTATGACCCGGTTGTTTACATTTGAAGAACAAATTATAATCTTTCGGACGCGGACATTCATTGGCATAATGTCCCTCGGACGCACAATAGAAACATCGCACTGTTTATTTCAGTTTACCATCTGTGTGCGCTCTTTGACTTTACATGCGGCATCGTGTCTCTAGTTTTCTCCAGTCGCCACGATTCTTGTATCTCACCGAGTCGTGTTACTCTTTGCAAGGATACCATACCATGCCTCGCCTTGTTCCTTGACCATTAAACACGAAATTAATACTTTCTCTCCAATTCAGACTCAATTTTCTCTTAAAGGTTAAATTTAGCACGTTGCACAATCTCAGTTTCTCATGCAAATACTTTTGTACTCGTTTCTCCATGCGTCTCCACGAAACTGACACACTTTCACGTAAGTCAAACCTGAACTCGAATTCAAACTCTGGCCGCAAACGGATTTTCACCCCCCTTACGTGAAACTAACCTCCATTCCCTGCAACTAAGTGGATTCTCGCATTTTCCCAATTTAGTTTCGTCTGGTCAGTCGCCATTTTGCTTGATCTTTCATTAATCGACCACAATACACTTGACGTTCTATATCCCACTTCTGAATATTGTTAGGATCCTTTTCGAGGATCAAGAATTAGCCACTAACTTGGTTATTTCTTAAAGACTTTTCAGCACGACCACACGCCACTATTTCGCAGTCCTCACTCTCTTGCCAACTTAAAATCGCCACAGAACTATAATTCTAACCAAAATAAACCGATACAACGAAATATCGAAGGATCCTCAGTATTACAATCACTTTTAACGACAATTTATTTTAATCTTACAAAATACATTTTATAGTTAACAAAAATGCATCAAATTCATGTCTTGGGCTTTGAGATAATGCTCTTGGTTTTTTTTCCCAACGATCTTGGTGCATAAATAACGATTTTGACATGTTTTGATCAAAATCCATGTGGTCCATAAAAATAGATCAAATTCATGTTTAGATCATTGAGATAATGCTCTTGATCTTTTTCCCAACGATCTTGGTGCATAAATAACGATTTTGACATGTTTTGATCAAAATCCACGTTTTCGCCAAAAATTCATCAAATTCATGTCTTGGGCATTGAGATAATGCGCTTAGTCTTTTTCCCAACGCTCTTGGTGCATAAATAACGATTTTGACATGTTTTGATCAAAATCCACGTGGTCGCCAAAAATGCATCAAATTCATGTCTTGGGCATTGAGATAATGCGCCTAGTCTTTTCCCAACGATCTTGGTGCATAAATAACGATTTTGACATGTTTTGATCAAAATCCACGTGGTCGCCAAAAATGCATCAAATTCATGTCTTGGGCATTGAGATAATGCGCGTAGTCTTTTTCCCAACGATTTTGGTGCATAATTAACGATTTTGACATATTTTGATCAAAATCCATGTGGCCTCAGAAAAATAATTTAACATTTTTGAATCACACACATGCGGTTATCAAACGTGCACGTTATCAACTCTTTCAGCATCAAGATAATGCGTTTGAAAGCTTTTACAACTCTAAATTCATGTGTAAAGAATAATTTTGGGTACATTTTGCTCTAAAACTTTTGACCGAGACCACAGAGAAGAGTTATATTGAATTGTTACACATCTAAGAGTCATAGGGAATAATCTAGCGAAAGTCCGAACTCGATACATGACCTAGGGAATGAAATATGTTAATTTTTATTATATTGAGTTCGCAGTTTTTCCTGTTCCCGATTCACTCGAAGTCGTATAACTTTTGTTCCTGTTGAACCAGCTTCCTGAAAATCAATAGCGTCCGTTCTTAATGTCCAACGTACCCGTATACCAAATTTCAACACAATCGGCCACTTTTAAAAAGAGTTAGAGCGCACACGGACGGACGGACGGGACGGACGGACGGACGGACGACAATACAAAACTATAAAGGATCTGAGGATCCTTAATAAACCATAGATCCTATGATTTTCATTAATCCTTTTGTCTATATCGTAGTAGTAATCATCTTACCTAATGACAACAAAAATAAATAATCCATAATATTAACAGCTGGACAAGGCACTTTTTCTCGCGTTCCCTTTATTGACAAAATTTGAGATTAATAGCGCTTTACAGTGAAGAGTATCCCACCACTTGAGCAGATAGACCGGACCAAAATATTTTGAAGAGAAGAATGTATTTGCCGGGTCACTGGTTTCCGGATGCGTCGTGATCGGTTAATGGCTCGAGAAAAGTTATCAGCGCCAGTCTGACGGGTGATAATGCAATCTTAATGTGTTTTGCGTGACCAAAACTTACTAATGAAGAGATCATAGAGCGCTGTGCTCAAACGCGTGCATGATTAGTTGGACATGCACAAGGCATGGGTTAATGAATCGATGTGGTCGATTTAACCTCTTTTTCTGGCGGAAGTGAGTGGATACATTAAACTAAATTACGAAAAAACCGAGGGGATTACGTTTGGAAAAGGTCAGCAAGTACCGGTATCCTAACGTGAAAATTTCGAGGTAGCAAGAAGAATTAAGTAGAAAATTGCGCGGCACCACTGTTTTTGATTCAATTGACACACTACATCACACAATTAAAATTAATGTGATCGCCCAAACGAAAATAAATACTTAAAGGATATGCGTGCAGATCGAAGGGATTAACTTCCCTTCAAAAGAGGTTAGCAAATTCATTCTCGAGACAGTAAACTGATTATGAGACTGTTTTGCGTCAAGAATGCAAATGCAAATTTATTAAGTTGAATTGACCACGTATTTAAATATCCGTCGCACTAAAGGGCGAATATCTAGGACAACCTTGGCCTCTAGTATCTCATCTTTTGAGGGAAAACAAAACAAAATAATCCCCTGTCCCGTCACGAGACCGGAGTTCCATAAAAAAGGCGTTTCAATCCAGGGCACCCAAATTAACTAATAGGCTATTGAAGGTGGCTGTAATGCATGAGGTTTCTGAGTTGAAGAAATAATTTTCAAGTTACAATGAGTTTTGTAAGAAAAGTGAAGAAATTCAAGGCACTTAATGAATTTTATAAATTCAAGTAATTTTAAGAATACCTAGTCACAGATTTAAAGAAACTGAAAAATCGAAAAAATTAAATACTCCTGAAATTGGACAACGAGAAAGATTCGATCAAATGATTTTGAATAATTCGAACAATCTGAGGTCTCATGAATCAGAAACAAGTTAAAAAGTAATCGTAAACGACTTACAAAATGCGCATTTCCACTTGCATTCATTTCCCATTTGTAAGATGCAACTTCTGTTAAAATCGTAAAAATCCGCCACAAATATGAAAGATAGATAGCGTTGCACATGTGCAATCCATTTTTGACGTGCTACTTCAATTTCTGTTTATAAGAAGAATTTCATTTCAATGCTTTTCTAAATAAGAAAGTTGGAACTGCGCATTTGAAACTGGCGTTAGATTTTCATTTATTCCAAGTGCCTATGTATCAAATTTCATTCAAATACTTTTATAAATAAAAAAGTTTGCAATTCGGTTTATAAATAGTCGAGATGCAAAAAGAGCACTGTGAATTTTGAATCGATTCGACTCAACTTGGCATTGCGTATTATATGGCTAAAGCTATGCCCATATTGAATTTCATGCAATTCAGTTCATAATTAACGGAGATGTCAAAGCGATCAGACATTTCTAACCAAAGTTATCAAGCACACGGACATATAGAGGGACAGACAAAGGGACAGACGAACAGACCAACAGACAGACAGACATACAAAATTATAAACGATCTCTAGGATCGTTAATAAACGGCAAAAGTGTACAATTATGGAACATGTAAAAAACGGTTTGTTGGTTTTTTTACAATAACTTTTTTAGCAATAAATGCAGAAAAAATTCCTTCCTCGGTGCAAGCCTCGACACCATAACGAACCATTTAGCGAAAA